TCTGGTACGTGCTGGAATATTCTGGGATCTTCTAGCTCATTCTATTATGTTATCCATGGACTATTGGTCTTACGTTGAGTCATGCCTAGTAGATTGATAAGCAGGCAAATCCCTATGAGCTTTATATGAGACCATTTTCTTGCAGAAAAGTCTGGAATGTTCTAGAACTTTCTGTAATGTTCCGGAATATTCTCCACCTTGTTCCCCAGTTCTGAGAGATGCTTAGTCAACTGTTACCCTTTATGGTTATATGCCAGGACATTCTAGAATGTTCTATGATTATAGCCTGCACATGTTTATCCCAAACGCTTAATCAATCCAAGCTCAGACACGCAAGTTGTTAATCTAGCCTGCAGTTTCACGTCCATTGATGCAACTACCGAACAAGTCCTGTCTGATCCTTTTGTAACTATACAGGACTATACGTGGCCTGAACCTCGTCATTGATCTCCCAATCATTTGTGATAGGGTCGAGGGAGACACCTAACAACTTATGAGTTTTCTGTACTCGAATGGCAAACAGTGTGGCTCGCCTGGAAGATAGTCTTCGTTATCTGGTTTCCGCAGGATCTTGACTCTGCTGACCACATTCCAAACCACTTGCGCCCACCAGGAACTTGTGTCACCGACAAAGTACTCGTATGGTACAGCGAGACTAAGGATCGCCGGCGACTGGATGTGTTGTACGAGCACGATGACGCGGCTCTCCTGATACTCAGCTACTCGAAGGACTCGACCAAGAAAGTGTACATCCTTAGGCAATGTCCAGCCCGGCTCTAACTTGCTTGGAAGGATGAGCCAACACGGGGTATCGGGAGGCGGAATTGAACCAAATGGGTGCGTTTCCGGCACACGAATCCGCGGAGTGTGGAAGTGAAGATGGTGGGAGTCCTTGCGTACAATTACCGGGCAGCGGATGACGTTGTCCAAGTTGAGGTGGTCTGAGAGGTATGGGATCATCTCATCGGGGATTGTGAGGGTCTGTCGGGGGACGGTAGACATGATGGGAGGTGCCACATCACAAAACATGGACCCACCGTTTTACGCTTTTTTGATGTTTGACGCCTGTGGTTCCGTGATAGGTTCCAATTGTTACCTGTCACATGATTATGTAGCTCATTGTAAGCCATGTCCAGGTGCCAATCCATTTTGGTGCCTGACAGCGCTTAGAGCACAGGGTCAGGCCGGACGATGGGAAGCACACGTGTAGTGTGCGTTCGTGCGGAAGTGGGTATGGTAGGCATCACATAGAGATGGGGCGAGACGAAATGATTCGAGATGGGACAGGTTGCGAGGGAGGACGTACATTCCCGTCTGTGACAGACGAGCTGGGTAAGCAGGTGTATAATAGGGGCACAGGGTGTACGGCCGAACTGCAGGCCCACTGACCTGTTCCTCCTGGCTTCTCCGCTGTGTGCCATGGCCCGCTTGATGGCCTTGGTCCCGTCCTGCTCCTCCTTTATGTTCGTGTTCTGGTGGGTTGACGGCTGTTGAGGGTGTGGCAATGCGCGTGAGTGGTGCTGTAGTGGCGTGGAGAATCAGCACTGACCATCATCTACGTCCTAGCTTCGGCCGATGAGTCTGCCACGATCGGTCTTTGTTACGAACCGCCCCTACGGGGCTACGTTTCCCTTTTCGATCTGGACCACAGCCTCGTATGTTCACCCTTGTTCTCTATCCGGCATGGTTTCCCCTTGTTTGCATACGGACAATAGCTCCCCTTGTTCTCCCCTTTGCTATTGTCCTACGTCCCTTGTACTCAGTGCCCATGGCAACACCATTGTCCCTTAGCGCCCATTGTTTGTTTCTCGTATATAGCTGGATCCCTTGCTACTGGGAGACTCTAGTTTTGACCTCTTGTCTCCAGGTAAGCCATCATGTATTTCGCTCTGTAGATACTTTGCTCAATACACACCTTGTCTCCAGTCCTGCCTGTTGAGCTCCACTCCAGTCTCACTGCGATTAGAGCTCATCGGCGCTCCTGCCTGCCTCGCTCGTCTCCACTTACTCGCTCGACAGTCAGTCGTAACAGAGACGTTCTCGTTTTTCTGATTTTGAAGCAGCCTAGATGGAGCACTATTTTTCAATCAGAAAGATATAAGCTGGCGGGATGAACCCCACGTCTTGGACATTGATCTGTACATATCTCTTCAGTTCTTACCACGGTCAGGACATTAGTGAAGGGCATCACAGGGACTTGCTACAACGGACAACCAGCTGCAGGAGTCTCGGGATGCGTATGTGCCTATGTTTGATGTTCCTGCAAGACATAAGAGATAACTCGACGTATTGTGAACTGGCCTGCATACTGACATATAAATGTCAGCCTCGGGAATTCGCTGCGGCTTCACCTACCTTGCCTCTGTACCACCACTCCTTACCCCACACACACCTTCACCAGCTCACACCTTCTCTCGCTGCTGCGCAGTACCCCATAGCTATGTCTCTTACACTCACCACCTCCGCCTCAACTTTCCCGGTCAACTCTCCTGGTGAGATCATCAGTGCCGTTTCTGAAAAAGACATCCTTCAGGCAACCCTTGTAGGCGACCAAGTTTGCGATCCGTTCGCAACACTTGCCTCCGCCTTCAACTGGGCTGACGATGTTGAGGACGAGTTCTTCTCCGACGACGCAAGCGAGGCCGACCTCGACACAGATGAAGTCGACGCCCGATCCAGCTCTTTCGACGTCGACCGGTTCTTCGCTTCCGATGTTTGTATGTTTGGACAGTATGGCCACTACCTGACCACGATACTGGAGGAGGACAAAGACCAGGGCCAGGACGACAATGAGGATCACGATGAGGACCACAAGGAAGACAACGAGGACCACAAGGAAGACAACGAGGACCACAAGAAAGACAACGAGGACCACAAGGAAGACAACGAGGATGAGGACAACAAAGAAGACGGCGATCGCTCCGCCGCGACCGACCCGACCGACTCGACCGGCAATGGGAGCCTTCTCCAGCGCATATTCCTCACCAATCGGCCCAAGGTTGCCTCGAAGCCTTCGCTCGACGACATCGAGGAAGAAGAGGACGGCTTAGAGAACAATACTGACGAGACTGGATCTTCGGTTGACAGCCCTGACTCGGACTCTGAACGGACGGAGTCCGACTCGGACACGATCGACTTCGACGCGACCAATTGGGACGACACGGCGTCGACGATCTGCGACCCACCACGACGCCCACTTCGAGTTCATGGCCAACCACTTCGACTCACTCGAATTCTCTCTCGCTTCGATCTCGACCGTGGACGACGATGAACGACAGTGCGCAGCAGGTGATCCAGACTCTGGCTAGGTCTGGGTCGAATTCGAGGACGACGAGCGAGAGCGACAAGTTACGGCACCGATTCCTTCTGGCAAGACATGCGGATCGGCCTGGCAGCAGCTCCTGAGGATATTGTTCATCGCCTGAAGGAGCTGCACGGTAAGATAGAGGTGGGGCGTGAGGGTGAAGTGGACGGTGGGGTGGCTACTTGCCGTTCATGATCCTGATCCCACCTTGGCCACTGGCTGAGCACCGGATTCTTGGACGTCGGCGCGGTGGCTCGGTTTTCTCTTCGTGAGGAGTGTGTGGTGTGTTTGGCGAGGACGTCGGGCTGGCCCCTGGTGTCCCCGTGCGGCGTGGTGTCATTCTTTCAGAGCGGTCCTTGGTTCCGGCTGTTCTGTTTCTGGCTCTGGTTCGCGTGAGATTGCTTTGGTTTCGACATGTTTCGGTTTCGACTTGGTCGGTTTCGGCAGGCTCTATTTTCGGTTTTCTTCTTTGTTTCGTACTTCTATCAGGACTGCGGCCTCCTCGTATTCGGTTCCGGCGAACGGGGGGATTCCATCCCATATCCCTTGAGGAATGGTGACACCAGAGGCTGAGCTGGCAGGGTAAGGGACTGGGATCTGGCTGCACGGGCGGGCGGGCGGATGGGCATCATCTCAGATTTCGAGTCTTGTGTGCGCATGTGTTCGTGTCGCAGTCGGGTTAGAGGCTACGTCCACAGAGCAGGACGAGCGCCGGTCTTGACTCGGAAGGGCGTGAAAACTTGAGTTTTCCGGTTCTCCCCTGTGGGGAGCACATTGAGTATCGCAATTTGGCTTGAGCAGAACGGGGTCTTGTCATACCTGCCACAGAGAGGGTGTCTAGGATGACGGATAATTTGGAGTCTGCGGTGCGGAAGACGCCTGAAGATACCGGACTGCACAAAGTTGCCATCATACGAGCGCTAGCGCCTTGAGGGCTCCTTCGGGTCATAAGGCTAGGCGCGTGGCATGCACTCGCTGCCGGGTGTAACGCACCCATTTCCTCCACCATGTCGTTGAGGCGAGCCTCACGCTCGTTATCTCTGGCTAGGACAACACGGCCGTACGTCTCTAACCGCCTCATCTCAACTACGCGGGCTGTGCGTGAGGAGGCGTCCCCCAACTTGGGCTCCGTCCCCCCAGCCAAGAAGCCTGTCGACGCATTCCGCGGAGGCACGTGCGTTGAGGGCCATTTGATCTTGAACGATGTTGCCTGATCATACGAGGGTGATCTATGATTGTTGGCGGCTGAAGTCTGTTTCCTGCAGTCGCCGCACCAGCCTACTACAGATATCTCGTGCTGCAAGATGTGCCAGCTGGGCACTTTCGCCCTAGGCGATGTCGTTACGACATCCCACGCAGCGTCGGAAGGACGTGAACTCTCCACTCTATCCTTCTCGAGTCATGAGACTTGCTGAGACCACATATTTTGGGGACTTCTAAGATGCGCTTTGCAAAGCACCCGTGTACTGATCTGACCGGGCCGCAAGATTTGAGTGCCCGCTCGAAGGAGCCACATTCGAGGCAGGGGTTCACGATCCTGACCTTCGGTCTTGGGCATACTGGCGAACGTAAAACAAGTGCGCAGCTAAGCCGACAAGATATTCTACTACCTTCCCGACTCGATCAACCCTGCGTCAGTCGTTCAGGTTTTGGTCGAAGAGGAGCTTCCTTACACCCTTGCGGGTGTCGGAACGGAGCAGTACCTTCGTGTCTTCGTCACGCGTCCAGATGGTACCCTGAACACGTTCTGCCTGTTCCTCCACACTTCGCAAGCCTGTTTGCGACAAACGTGACAAACGTCGGCCGGGTAGAGAATCATATCGCGCCTGTGTGGCCAAGGGACGTCAAGCCTGGGGAGGTGCCAGTGTTCAGGATTGAACAGATGCATCTCACATGTCGATTGACTTGGCCTATGCCGTGAGTAGCCATCCACACCTGTTATTCTCCTTAGAATAGAAGATAGCGCACAAGCTCAGCCCGTTAGTGTGCAGGGGTATACATGCATGGTCCATACAAGGGATGCTCTCGATTCAGCTCCAGGTGAAAGTGCAGTGCAGGCTACACTTGTGGCTGCTGATGTGACCCGGGTCAGGCAGCGGACAACTGGAAGGTATGCGTCCTGCGCGATTTCATTGACGAGAAGAGTAGACAGATCTCCTTGATCGCGGCGGAGTAGGCAACGACGCATCTCTTGCTATCGTAGCCGAAGCCGCTTCGTTCCGTAGGACACCTTATGAGGGTGAAAAGCTGCAAACTAAAGACAAAGGACTGTGGCTACAACCGCACTTACTCGTCTCGAAGTACATCGCTCATACGTCTGATAAAGACTGTTCCATCACTATCTCCAGACGACAGTGTTCTACCATTCAGGGCGAAAGCTATATGCGTGACCCCACTTTCGTGCTCGGAGAACGTCGCCACACACGATCCATTACCCGTCCTCCAAAGCCGTACCGTCTTGTCAAGAGATGCTGACGCGACGTACTCCCCACATGGAGAGAAGCACGCTGCTGTGACCCGACCGGTGTGCCCCTTGAGTGATAGGATCATGACGCCTCCGGTCACGTCCCAGAGTCTCAAAGTCTTGTCCTTTGACGCGGACAGCACCAGCCGCCCGTCCGGAGAGAACGTCGCGTCGACCACCGCATCTGTGTGCTCCTTGAAGGCAAAGAGCCGCCGTCCCGTCTGCACATCCCAGATATGGACGGCGCCGCTGCGAGACACTTCGGCAAGGCGTGTGCTCTCGGGATTGAACACACCTGCTGCGAGTCGCCCTTCCGCACGTTCCTGGAGGGTCTTGCGCATCGCACCTGATGCAACGTTCCAGGTATAGCTGCCTTGTCCGCCCCGAGAGGCGAGCCAACGTCCATCGGGAGAGAAGCGGATGTCCCAGATGCGCTCTGCGGAATGCAGCTTCAGCGAATGGCGCAGTTGGAATGTCCCCGCATCCCAAAGGCGCACGGTCGCGTCCCAGGATCCGGATGCAATCGTGGTGCCGTCGGGAGACCAGACGCAACACTCGATGCTCTCGGCGTGTCCTTCGACTGTGGCGAGCTTGTGTGCGCCTCGGCCGAGATCCCAGACTACAAAATTCAAGCTGTTACTGCCGACGGACGCAAGATATCGACTGTTAGGGGAGAAGGCGAGCGACAGGACAGATCCGGTGTGTGCCGCCCATTCCTGCAGGACTAGTCCTTCGAAACTCCAGATGATGATGGTAGAGTCCAGAGATCCGGTCGCAATACATGTGCTGTCTGCGGAGTAGACAAACGACGTGACAGCCTTCTCGTGGCCAACAGCGATGGCTGTGTAGGTGATCAGCTGACATGCCGTAAGTTCCCGCAGTATAACTGGAACTCACAAGGGCCCGAGTCGACGACGAGCGCATTCCGATTGTGCAATATAGGGAATCGATCTTCGAGCTCTCGAGTCCAGAGTTGTTTCCTGCAATAGCGATGCGATGCGAAGGAAACCAGTAATCGTGGCTGGGGGAAACGGAGTAAAGTATTTTCCAACTCCATGCAAGCGTCTAGCTTGGACCTGTCTTTCTGAAATCTCTTGATTTCTCTCAGTCCGCCCTCGACAGAACACAGATGTCCCGTGACCTCCTGCAAGTTAGGAGGATGAAAGCCCTTGAGGAATGCGCTGATTCCCTGCACAGCTTCTGTCTCAAACGTGAACTTCAGCGTCAGAGACTGCAGCCGTGTCCAGTCCCATGGCCGGGAGAACGACTCCAGTTGTGCTAAAAGCCGACTATAAGGTCAGATCCCATCACGAAAAAACGAGAAGACTGTGCAGCGTACCGGGTTCCATCGCCAGCACTAGGTCACCCACAAGGGTTTGGGTCAACTCGGACAGAAAAGCAACAATAGCGTCGTCTACACCTGAATCCATCTGTGGATGGGGAATGATCAATATCATTCGTGACTGAAGAACGAGCAATGACACTCACAGTAAGTGACCTCAACTGTAGCCGTCCACGCAGACGTTCGTTGACCAGATCCAGAGGGGCAGTTGTAACATTACTTCGGACGGCAATGTGGCCACAGATGAGCTCTCTGATGTTGACGAACGCCACGAGCACTCGAGAGAAGGCGAGATATGTCGGGAAGGCCAGATGAAAGAGTCGGAGGTGCCGGATGTGCGTCCCAAGGCGGTGGTAGCAATTCAGACTGGACGAGTGCAGGATTACTGGAGTGTATCCTTCCCGCTCGTTTGTTGCCTGATTGGATCCGCTGCGGCGGAGAGTTGACTCGCGAGAAATGATCGCGACGTCGGAGAGATTAGGGAGAAGATAGAGCAGAGAGGCCGCGAAATGGGCTGGGGATACAGTTATGGACCGGACGAGGGACCGGAGACGAGGCTTGCCCTGTAGGAAGTCGCATAGCTTCAATACTTGGTCCCTACTCTCGACTCGGAGGCCGACATGAGCGAACAAGGTAGAGACACTACGAGGAGTGAGTTGGTGGCACGTAAGAGAAAAACTTTTCAGGGTTCTAACGTCGTCGGAACAGTGGTCAATGACTCTTTCTATGACTTCCCAAGGGAGTACGAGGGACATGGCGAGCCGAGTGTGGAGGAATGTATGAGGCAAGAACGACATAAGATGAGTGGATATCGCTATACCTATAAAGATGGCGTTGCAGCGCCTTGCCACTTCTATTCATCAAAGTTCCTGCATGACAGGGGCGTGCATTCACTTCTACGGCGCTCCGACCTTCGAACCTGACGTGAGTGGGAATGATAGGGAGGCATCCCGGGCGGGAAGGCTACCCTCCCGTTATAGCTCTCACCGGCAGAAGGGACGACGCGCCTCCACGGTCGGTACGCAAGCCGGCTGGAGAGACCGGTGCAGAGAAGCCCCGCAGCAGCCGAGACCCGATAATCGAACGCGAGCTCTGCGGTTATGCGCGGACGAACGAAAGCTGCCTACCGCGACGCCGAAGACTCAGGACCTCCTCGGCCTAATCTCTAGGCACTGCCTCCTATTGTCATCGGACAAAACCACATGAATGCGGTACGAAACCGATGTGCTGTGTAAGCAACAGAATTTCGATCTCGGCATCCCCACGAACCTCATATACACGCGGTGCATGCGGCGCTGTCAGCATAGCCAACGCCCGTCCTCGTACTGGGTTCAAAGAGAAACCAGAGTTGAAGCCCTAGCAGTTCGCGGTCTTGCATATGCGGCTGTTTGATGGTGTGCTAAAAGACTGGGAATATATGGGTTAACTTCTCAATCCCGCGATGGCTCCTCCCCAGCGATCGGGGAGTAGATCGTGCTGTGGCCAGGTCGACGGGGCAACCAGCAGGACGATTACATTGCGGCGCCGGCCATCGTGGCGATCCTGGATACATAGGTCCGACGGTGCGGAACACGATCTGTATGCGATAAGTGGCTGGGAGCATATGCACCTGCTCATGGACCCCGCGAGCGGAAGACCAGTGTGGATGTTCGCATCGGCGGCGCGACGACTCATTCTGATTCCAAATGAACGCAGGTATGAAGGTGCATGCACTGCGTCGAATGTCGAGAGCGTTGAGGTCATTGAAACCGCGCGAATGTCACTATTCCCTTAATATGAACACAGCAGTTGAGCTAATTTCATTCCACAGCGCGGTCAGAGATGGTTTAGAGATGTGCGAGATTGAAGGCCTTCAGGTAACACGCGCAGGAGCGTTTGATCTGGGCCTCGGGATGCCTTGCAACCTACTCCAGTCATGGCGGTAATATCATGAGAAGCAGTTTTCCGCAAGGAGGAAAGGCGAATACCTACGTGCTAGCAGACGGCGCAGATGGACGTCGGTAGAGAGGAGCGGCCGCCAGGAGTGCAGAGACACCTAAGTACGGTGGGAATAGCGCTTGTTGCTCGCCGCCGCCGCTGCCGTCCGCACAAGTCCCTCACTCGCCCTCTGCCACCTTCGACGAACTCCAGCTCTTAGGGCATAAATGTCCTCCTGTGCCTACGCATAGTCATGCCTACCACCTGATCCCAGTCAGCATCGTGATTCATACGGCTTCACGTTCTCCGCACCAGCATCATATAAACAGCACACACGTAAAGATCCCACCGTGCCTAGTTCCGACGCCCTCGACATATCACCCGCTCTTCCCTTCCGTGCACCATCGCCTTCCGTTGAAGACCAGCAACGACATCTCATTCGCAATGACACAAGACGGCCAGCCGACGCTGACCCCGGATAGTCCACTCATGATGAGCAACTCTTTCCTGAACGACGGTATACTCCTTCTGTCCATGCCTGGGCCGAGCAGAGATCCGTCGTACTATATCCACGATGGAAACACTGTGCTACTCGTTGAAAACACTCTATTCAAGGTGCGTATCGATCCGCGGCATAAGGGTTTCGGAGATTCACGTTGTCCAACCCGTGTCTGACGACGCTACAGGTTCACAGATCGGTGCTCACCAAGGATAAATCCGCGTTCGAAACGATGTTCCAACTGCCTGGAGAGACAGACTCTGCGCGTTCGGAGTCTAGTATGACAGTCGCGCAGGAGGGCGAGAGCGACGACAACCCGATCAAGCTGCAGGGTGATACCGCGGACGAATTCCGCGCCCTCATGTGGGCGTTGTATTCACTGTGAGTGCCAACGATTCTAGTGTTCAGCAACATTCCTCTCACTTTACCAACCAATCACGCGTCCCACATACCTGCACTGTCTCTGCCACGCCGACTGTATCGTCGCGCAGACCGCATGAGCTCACGATAGCGATGACCGCCGAAGCGGACTGTACGCAGCTTGCCAATCTCGTCCGCATCACGCACAAGTACCAATTTCGCAACATCATGACCTGGGCACTCTCCGCGCTGCACCACTACTATGCGCGACCCGGTGCGCTGGACGACATCCTCACCGCCACGCCCTCAAGCTCAAGTACCCCAACACCCGGTCCCCTGGCCCACCCCCCGACAGTTACCGCGGGTGGTCTCCCAACCGCGTCCTCCTCGCATCCGCCCACGCTCATCCAACTCACGGAGCTCGCCGCGCTCTGCGAGCGTGCGGACCTGCTCGAGTGCACGCTCGTCCGCTGGAAGCGGCTCATTGGCGAAGGGCGCGATCTCGTGCTCGCGATCGTGATCGGGGAGCGGTTCACCTTGCGGCCCATCCTTGGGCTCGCGTACCACGCGCTCATGCTCCGCGGCAAGGCCGCCTGGGACGCCGAGCCCTCTCTTACGCGCGCGCAGCGCGTGCGCCTCCTCGCGGGATACTACGCCTTGTCGAAGCTGTGGGACGTCCTCCCCTCGCAGCCCCCGCCCTTGACTCATAGCGCGCGGTGCACGAGCCAGCAGCGGTGTGCGAAGGCGTGGGGCGCGCTGTGGCGGACCGTGCTGGAGACGGGGACGCAGGTGATGCCCGGGCTGGCGCGCGAGGACGTGCTGGGAAAGATCATGCTCGCGGAGAGCATGATGAAGGCGCTCGTGGAGAGGGAGATTCCGAGCCAGGGCTTCTTGGACGGCATGCCGCATTGCAGGGAGAGCGCGCTCGTTGCGACTACGGTGCGGATGCGGGAGATCAAGGAGAGTCTGGCCGACTACTTCTCGGTCGATTTCTAGAGGACTGTCTTCGTCTCTGTCTCTGCCTCTCGTCCTCCGTTTCTCTCGCCTGTGCGCTTTGTTGGTTCTCTGTCTGCGGTATTCTAATCAGTTCATGACGAACGTCTCACGAATGATCCACACTGACTTGATGCGTACGAGTTATTTATACCGAATCGCTGGATTAGATACCGTTCTGTACCGGGGTACTGTTGCCCGCTTTGTACCTATACCTCCACTGTCTTGGCACGTTGTATCAGTATCGATTATACCATTCCCCTGACTGAATGCGTCTCTCCCGAACAGCATCTGTCGGGTCTTGGCTCAGAGACGTCCGCCATCTATGTTACTCAAGTCTTACTTCGAAGACTATAGTTGTCCTTGTGATATGCACTCAAGCCCACTTCGTCTCAACTGCACACCTCGCATAGGAAGTGGGACTAGGTTGTACGTATCGTGTCGCGGTACTTACAGGCTTGTTCCAGCATTGAATCAATCATTGACATGGCGGCTATTAAACTACGGGCGGTTGAGTCTGGTCGTTATTACTTTACATCACGTCGCCCGGGAGCACGCATGGCGGACTTCACGGAGTCAACACAAACGAATTGCAAGCATACGGATGGAAAGCAGTCAGGAATACGCCTTGGATTAGCCTCTGAGTCATTGAAGCCATATGAGCAGTAGTGTTTCCAACGCTTACACAGTCTCGGTCGGCTCTCATGAAGAAACTGATCGAGATTGATGCAGGCGGCCAGCAAGAGCGGCGTACGTACTGTACCGTAGCGATTCGGACTGGAAGGGGTCGTGAGGTTCGGGGGAGTTACTCTACACTCAAGTCCAATTGATATATCAAAGTGATACAACGTATATCAGCGACGGTATTCCAAGCCTAGTCCATGAATCGTGAGTCCGTTCGTGTGGTCGTCAGTTGTTATTTCTGTGTCGAGCTACACGGCCTAGTTGGTCTCGGCCGTCGTGAATTGAGTCGTCGCCAATCCGACCTGGCTGTTACCAGTGTCGAATACGCTGTAGAAGCGCTGGAGGAAGGCGAACCCGTCTGCAACGCAAATATCAAGCCAGTCAGTAAGCTCTCCGCATGCCGTTCAAGTACCCGACGCACTGATGAAGTCAAGGCCCTGGCCGCTCTGGCTGCCCAGATCCGCGACAACGAGGTAGATCTTGCCCTCCTCACCACCGATGGTCGAGTTGAGCGAGCGCGGCCAGATCTGGGCGTTGGCCGTGAACTCGTACGTGGTGCCGCCGACGTTGAAGAAGAGGCTCTGCAGGTTGTCGAACTGCGACTCGGTAAGCGTCAGGAGTCCTGTCGAGTTGTCGAGCTTCGCGCCAGTCGCCTGCTGGTAGGCCTGGAACGCGTCCGTAGCGAGCAGGAGGAGGGTGGTGCCGGTGTCAACAATGCCGGCGGAGCCGGAGAGGAGCGTGGACGAGCTTCCGTAGGTCACGTCCTGGTCAATACCCCAGTAGTTCGAGGCGGGCGAGGTGGAGGTGATCGGGACGAAGTTGACATCACCCGTGATCCTGCAGAGGTCGTACAGGACATCAGCAGTGATCCCTATGAGGCTAGAGTATGGAGAGATGGGGCGTACTTGCTCTCATCGATGCCGCCAAAGGTGAGCTCGCCGTTCTGGTCCCCACTCTCGGTCGTGGGCTGGTAGAAGATACCAATCGAGTCGTTAGCGATGGCGCCTTGAGCGAAGAGGTTGTCCGTGACGGTGGGGACGGAGTCCGTTCCGGAGACGGTGCCCTGGGTGAGGTCAACCGGGCCGATACCGAGGATACCGTCGACGCCCTGGAAACCCTGTGCAGTCGAGGCAACGCCGATGCTCTGGTTCTCAATGACGAGCGAATCCGAGAGCGTCACCTGGTCGGTGACTACCAAACTATGTAAGCTCTTGTTCTCAACGAACCTTGAAGGATATACATACACTCGGTGCCGGAGAACGAACCAGAGCCGTAGCTGACGCTCTGTTAAGCGGATAGTGAGCAGCAAGAATGCAAGAGCGTCTGGCGCAGACTTACGACCGACTTTTCCGTGCTCTTGCTAGTACTGGTCTTGACGTACTGCTGGTCAGCGCCGACCCAAGTGTTCGAGCTGCCGGTGTCGATGAGGAGGGTGTACTGAGTGGGCGGGCTGCCGACACCGACGGACGCAGTGTACGTGACACCGGCATCCGTCACGTCGACACCTCCACCGGGGGTAGAAGTGCCAGGCGCGCCGCCAGAGGTACCTCCAGTGCCCGTAGACCCGCCGCCAGAGGGGTCAGAGGCAGCAGCACCACCGGCAGGGTGGTGATGGTGGTGGTGGTGGCCGTGACGCCTGCGACGGGCCTCGTGGAAGGCGCTCGGGCCGTGAGGGTTGATGCCCTGGAGGATCTTCTGCGCGCGCGCCCGGTCGCGAGTGAGGATGTCCTTAGCGCTGTGAGCGACGACGCGGGTGATGAATGGGACGGAGGACATGTTGTGCGAAGTATTGTTCTGGGGAGTAGTCGTCTGAACAGAGGATGGAGGGTATATATACTGAGGCGGAAGCTAAAGGCGTCATCGTGAATCTGCATTGGGGAGATGCGAACGGCGTGGTGCACGAGGCGAGCAGTCTCGCGGTAGGTACCTAGAGCATGTCGCAATGCGCAAGTGGCACCTTGAAGACCGAAATATCGCGCATGAGAATGGAAGGAGCGAAGCCGCCAATTGGAGTTGTCCGAATCCTTGTCGTTAGAACTCAACGAACGGTCGAGATCGCATCCACGTCTGATTGGCACAAAGTCTGACATATCCCCAGTATGATCGCAGAGTCGTCCTGTCAAGGGTGCCCAGGGAGATCGATACGTGCCTCTCGCGGCCTCCAAGGCTGTGACAGTGTGAAGCGGCGTGCTTCTTGCGCAGTAGGAAGATAGGTACCTCCGATGGCGTTGTGGCGGCCTGGCGGCCTGGCGAAGGGATTTACATAGGGTTGGGTGCCGCAGATGACGCAGCCGGGACTCCTGCAGTGCCCCGCATAGGACACGGCGAATACCAGGCACAGAACCCAGAAGGCATGGCGGGGATGCGACGGGCTCTGATAAGCTATCTCGGGTAACTCGTACCCAGCAACCCCACAAACGACGCTGTCATATGCAGCTCAACCTGTACACTTGCCTCTTTCCGGAGTCCGCCGGGCGCATAGTCAGGCTGTAAATAGCTCACCTCGCCGCCCATACCATTACCCTTCCCATTACCCCTCACTTCCCAGACAATCCACATATGCTGGCCGCACGATGCTCCTCTCAGTATGACGAGGCGCAGTGAACCCTGCGGCGAGGTCGGCGAGGTCAGGGCTCCCTCCTACTTGGGACCGAAGAGATAGAATGACACCGTTCTGCTGAACTTACAATCCGGCGCGGTGCCCGCCTCCCCCCGTTACGAGAGCGTCCTATAGCCTTGAAGTATGGTCCCCGTGCTCATTGAGGCATTGAGACATGGTAATCCTTCATGGTGACTATAGTCGCTATGGCTTGTCTCCTTATGATTGTGTCTGGGTGGATCACACGGCGCTTCGATCCGCCTCATTATCGAACCCGCCATCGTCTCCACCGGTCTGCGCAAATCGACCGACTGGCCCTCTACAACTTGCCATTTCGCCAGGACTGAACTTGTTCTGTCCATGAGTACTTGCATGGACGCTCAACCAAACCAAGCGAAAGTCGCTCCAATAGCGATGACTACCACCCACGAAGACCCGCTGCGCAGCAAGCCGCACATTCTGCGCGATCACAGCCTTTCCTTGCCTTCTGCTTCTCTTCCTTCCGCCAGAGACCGAGTCACCTAAACGTATCAGTGGCACGATGCAGAAGATAACGGACGGAATGTACAAACCCCGGATGACGGATGCAATGAATGACTGTTGTCGGGACGTCGGTTCTTTGTACGGATCGCGCTGAGATCCTCGTTGACACTGGATTCCTGGAAGTCTATGATTTACGAAAGCAGCGCTCGAACAACATCAGCAGTCTTACATATGTGCTTATCGCAATGTCAGCTCTCGCCATCTTTGAATGCAATAACGTACTCACGATGGCCCCGTGCGTGTTTGTGGACCCAAGCGGGTCATCTACAGATTGTGAGCAGGGCACTTCGTTGAGCTCGCGGCGAAGGAGATCAACATACGTCCAGTGCTGGATCCATGGGGGCCTCCGCCACACTGTTGCGTCCGCATCGTCACCACACTCGACTGTCATGGATATGAGCGTGATGGCTTCACGTGACTACGCGGCCTACGTGAGCGGACTTGCATATTGCTAGGCGGTATGAAGGTTTGTGTATGTCGTTAGGACACGATGCAACAACGCGGAAAGGACCTGGATCGCCTTTCTTGAGACCATTCCTGCGACCAGCGGAATCTCCTAACCTGCTAGAAGCGGGAGCTCGACATAAGCGGCCTGGAAGTGTCACCAAGGAGATTTGTCGCTCACTTGTTCTCTTTAGCATGCATCACGCGCCACCCTTCTTCCAGCCTGATGGTCGGAAACGGGGTTAGTGAGTATCGCCTACCCGGATCCAGGCGCAGGCACTCAGGTCCAGGTTCTTGAGACTCGCAGGCAGGCGCTATTGATAGTGAGACAAACCGCCTCGCTTCCATCACGTTGTTCGATATCGACTCAAGATGGGCACTGGCAATCACAGCGCGAACGTGCGAAGGAGTGCCTTGGACAGAAGCAGAGAAGCGTAGCGCCGCTGCACTCCTCGAGCTAGAAGTCGCCGACATTAGGTGATCGGGGAACTTCACTGTCGCTTCAATAGCCCATGGAAACTGTGTACACCTTGAATCAGCTACCCAGAGAATCTGCATTATTGTTATATGCGCGACACCCAAGGTTGTTTCGAATCGTGCAAGCAGAAGGGGTTTGGAGTGACCAGCAGCGTCGATGACACCAAGCAAATCCCAGAAGCATTAGCTCTAAGGTAACAGAATGCTGGCATATGGTGCGTTGCGCGAGTCTCTGCTGATGAGGGACGAAATGGGCGGGCTTACAGGTTACACTGAGTACGTGGACAGAGTCCAGTGCCACGAGATCGAAGTACATGAGCGTCCAGAGTCACCCCGGGAATGTCCGTGAAGGACACGTGGTGATCGATGGGCCTATCTCGGGCCGATGTGCCCAGTGCGCTTTAGCTGAACCACTGCTTCGACTCAACCTCAAGACATAAGCAACCCATGTTGATTCGACGCTACAGCTCCCTGATCGTTATAGGTGTTCTGCGTGGTATCTTGGAGATAGAAGCCTGTCTCGCTCGTGCAAATGACCGCTCCGTGGTGATGGTGATCGCCTACTATAGTGCCAGGCTGTATACAGGCGTGACCCAGTCCTGGCTTGAAGGTCGTCCAGGTTTCGATGTCCAAACACAGATTTGGCACTCACCTACCTTTCAGTGGTCATGCAACGGCCCCGCGAGGCATCACACGACGCACACGACTCGGTTATTCGCCTACCTGGCCTTCGTTTGACGCGCTTGCAAAGTATGTCGCCATAATGCGTGCTACTGTAGTCGTCCGGCGTCCCTCTTCACGTCGTATGTACGAGGTGAGCGGGGTATACTTTCCTATTCTCCTCCCTCTCTCTCCCTTGCTTGTTCGTGAGGCGTTGCTCACTGTGCTTGTCCATCCCGCCTGAGCCGTGAAAGCCATTTCGACCCGTGAAGGCTTCCGCTTCGGACCGCCGGCCGTCAAGTCACTGCTACTTCGGTACGGCTTTCTGAAGACACTGAGCGATGCGATTGCGTCTGGACCGGTCGCTTCTGGAAGATTATACGACAGAAGTCGAGGGACATGGTGGACGGACATGGATGATATGTCAGACGTTTGCTGAAGAGGTGCGTGCCCCCTCTCCCTTATGCGGCTATTGTTGGACTGACCTCGGTCCGCATGCGCGCCTTTTCCAGGGCGCGGTGATGCATTTAGGAGGCCGTGTCAGCGTAGAACAACTGCGCGTGCTGGCCGCCGCGTTCTCGACTGCTGCAAAATTTTGGTCTGATTGTGACCCTCATATCAGCCTAAAGGTTGCGGGCAGATGTACCTTGATGATGACTGAGCAAGTTTGGCCAGCGGCTCAATATACCCATTTCCTTCGCTCTTTGTTTTCCCCATGGAGTATGGTCTCCTCGCCATACCGGCGAAGGGTCTACGCATAGGAGAAGGTTGACGAGCTTGGCGTTCAAGTCATGGTGAGTGTAGTGTCGCATGATAGAGTACCGTCCGTGGTCGTCGGCGGATCATACTTCCTGCTCTTCGTGAGTGGTGTATCACTGCGGGTCTCATGCCTCTTTACCTCCGTCTTCGGTCCATCATGTGCGCCCGACAGTGACGCACGAGAGTCAAAGCGAAGGGCTCCTGACCTCCGCGAGGTATGTAAGTTGGCTGCGTACTTACATACGCAGAAGCTTTGGATCTCTTAAAGGCTATTCTATGGGAATGGAAAGAGCTCGTCTGTTGGGCTGCTTCGCATCCATGAGGCAACCCCACATTGGTATACAAATTTGCGTCTTTGTTTCCTAGCGCTCGGCCAGGCCGCCGTGCGCAATTGAATATCTCCTCATATGTTCGGTTCCGCAGCTGCGCTGCACACGTTTGCATCGCTTGGAGGCCCGCTCCATCTGCCCTTAAAACGCCTTTGTCGTCATAGGAAGACAATACGTGGTGCTCCTTGCGACCGGTACCTCTGAAGACTTCTTCACAGATGCCCCCTCTGTGCCACGCTACTATCGGTCGAGCGCGCAGGCTCGTGGGCATGGGCGCGGCGCTGTCATCGACTGCAACGATGTCGGGCCCTGGGGTCAAGTGATGATGAGGTGCACGGATGGAAGTGGAGGTCCGGGTACGTTGGAGGTAGTAATTGGTGAGCGGCAACGAAACGTCGCTTACCTAAGCTGACGCTATAGGTAATGGGCCCTCTGGATCCCCTCAGGCTCGCCGTGAACGCGCCGGAACACAAGCAGCCTATATATTTCATGCTGCTCCAGATGACTCTCCTCATTCTGTCCTCTCTACACCGCTCACCACCCACTTCACACAATGGCTTCGAAGAGTGCCAATGCTATCCAAATCCTGGACATTCATACCCGTGTCTCTCCTCCCTCAGGAGCCTCCATTCGTGATCAGATTGTCTCTGGTCTCTCGCAACCTGTCGGCGGCAAAACATTGCCCACCCTCCTCCTCTACGACGAGCGTGGCCTCCGCCTGTATGACGAAATTACCACAGATGCTGCGGAATATTACCTGTTCCCAGCCGAAGAGGAGATTCTGAAGAACAAAGCCGACGGGATCGTGCGAGTCATGCATTCGGGCATCGCCAACGGTGAACTCGTGGACGAGGTCGTGGTCGAGCTGGGCGCTGGGTGAGTTCTTGCTTTGACACTTTTACCTCACCTTCCATGGCGTGGTCTTTGCTCGGACCTTGTATCGCGCTCGTTGCACCGCTAAACGTTCGCTTGATTGATCGACTTCGTGCGGAGTTGAACTTGGCTTCCGTTCCTAATCTTTGACAACCCACCTGGCTCCTAAGTAGGGGTACGATATGAACGTAACCTGCTATCCACGTGCGGATGCAGGGGTCAACTATGCCATAAGCCCCTGATATCGTCCTCGGTTTCGGTCTCGGTCACCGAGTCCAGACGTCTGATCTGCTCTTTCGTAGCGCACTGAGGAAGACGTCCCTTATCTTGGGTGCGCTCGCTCGCCTGGTCCCCAATCCTGCTCCCACTCCTCCTATCAGCTACCACGCCCTCGATCTCGAAAAGCGCGAACTGGAGCGGACTTTAATGGAGCTGAACTCGTCGCATGTCGGTGTCGAGCTCAAGGGCAAGGTCGCTACTGCCGGCTTGTGCGGCACGTACGATGACGGCCTCAAGTTTATCGTAGAAGGCGGACTGCAGGATCGCAATGCGCTCGAGAGGATCGACACCGCATTCGGTTCACAGTACCCAGTGGAACGCGTTGGCCGGGACGCGTCTCCAAGCTCAGCGGCTTCTTCTCGTGGCCGCACTGACCGGACGGAGGCGACACCACCGTCGACGCCGGGCGCCCAGCAGCCCCTGCATATCCTTTTCCTCGGTTCTTCGCTGGGCAATTTCGCACGCGGCGAGGACGCCGCATTCCTCAAGTCTCTCCCGCTTCGCCCTGGTTCCGGCGACACGCTCCTGCTCGGTATGGACCACGGGAACGACGCGCGCCGGATTGAGGCGGCGTACAATGACTCGAAGGGCGTTACGCGGAAATTTATCATGAATGGTCTGGTTTCTGCTGGCCGCGCTCTCGGCGACGAGAGCCTGTTCGCCCAAGACAAATGGGAGTATGTCGGCAAGTACAACGAGGAATCGAGTAAGTCATGCGTTTGTAGACCTCGGACCGACGCTTAAGCTATCTACAGGACGTCACGAGGCATACTACCGGTCAGCCTGCGATCAGACGGTGGTGGATCCTGAGACGAAGGCGCTCTTCCCCTTCGTCAAAGATGAACTCATCCGTGTGGAAGTTTCGCACAAGGTACTGCAAACGTGCTTCCCACTGTTTGTACATATATTTATGTTACGTTTTACAGTACTCCGAGCGAGACGCATGGACGGTGTTTACCGAGGCGAACCTTTGTCCTGTCCACCGGTGGACTGACAGGTCGTCGCAGTATTCACTCTGGCTTCTTGAACGCCCGAAGTTCTCCTTCCCTCTACTCAAATGGCCCTCGTCGTCCGATGCCAAGACGGTTGCGCGCTCCCCTTTCTCACTGCCCACGGTGGACGAGTGGCGCGACATGTGGGCTGCATGGGACTTCATCACCCGTCAAATGATCCCTCCGTCTATGCTATTCCAAAAGCCCATTGATCTACGTCACATCTGCTTGTTCTACTGCGGACATATCCCGGCCTTCCTCTCAATCCACTTGTCAAAGCTACTCCAGGAACCCGATACCGAGCCAGTAGAATATAAGGTACTACCCATGTTCTGAGCTCCTCCACTCTGTGCTGATGTAGTCTTCTAGTACATCTTTGAGCGTGGCATCGACCCCATCGTCGATGATCCTACCCAGTGCCATGTAAGCGCACTTTCCTGATGTCTCGAGATGTCCGTGCTGATGCCCCCCTCTCACGCAGCCACACTCCGAGGTCCCCCAGAAGGATGAGGATTGGCCCTCGTTGCCTAGCATCTTGCAGTTCCAGTCGAGGGTCCGCGAACGGGTCATAAACCTCTATCGCGACATTGATTCGGGGAAGGTGACGCTCACGCGCAAGATCGCACGAGTCATGCAGATGACACTAGAGCACGAGGCGTTCCATGCAGAGGTCAGCCTCTCGCATACGTCTATGGCGCATTATCATTCACTCACCTCTTTTTCTTTGTTCCAGACTTTGCTGTACATGCTCCTGCAGCGCGCGGGAACCGGAACTATTCCTCCCAGTGGTTTCATCCCCCCTCCTTGGGAGGTCCTTGCAGAGTCGTGGGACAAGCAGCCCCTGCCTGCAGCAGAGACGGTAACGCTTGGTCCTGAGGAGATCAGCCTGGGCCACGACGACGACGAATCACAAGATGACTCTACTGAGGGTGTTCTCGAGCACTCCTTTGGCTGGGATAACGAGCATCCGAAGCGTACGGTGAAGGTCGAGGAGTTCAAGATCGAGTGGCGTCCCGTCACAAACGGGCAGTTCTACGAGTTCTATACGGGCCCCGGAAAGGACAAGGTTCAGTTTCCGAAGAGCTGGGTCGAGCTCGATGGCGAGGTCTTTGTAAGTCGATCTCTAGTTACTGCCATGGCACGCGTTAGCTCATACATCGACGATGGATCAAGGTTCGCACTCTGTACGGACCTGTCCCGATCAAGATTGCCTGGCACTGGCCGATCAAGACTTCGTATGACAACCTATCAGTCTATGCGAACGTCAAGGGTGGCCGCATCCCCACCGAGCCCGAGCTCCGCCTGTTCCTTGACAAGTTCGAGTGCGGCTACGAGGGCGGTGCCAACGTCGGCTTCAGAAACTGGCACCCCGTCCCGGCGACGACAGGTGGCCCTGCTGACGGTGGAAAGGGCCACAACGGAGGCGTCTGGGAGTGGACGTCCACTGTTCTCGACAAGTACGAGGGTTTCGTGCCGTCGAAGCTATACCCTGGGTACGTTGTACCACAGACTACGCCTCCCGCTCATTTACTAACCAGGCATGGCTACAGGTACTCCACCGACTTCTTCGATACCCACCACCAGGTCGTGATAGGGGGGTCGTATACGACAATCCCGCGCCTTGCCGAACGTCGTACCGTGCGCAACTACTACCAGCACAATTACCCGTACGCTTGGGTCGGTGCACGCGTTGCTTACGACGTGTAGACCATGCCGCTGTAGATAGTGATCCGTGAAAGTCGAGAGGCGTTTGTAAGAGAGCCGTATCTGTACAACAGCGCTAGATCCAATGTAACGAGAATGACAGTGCTGTTCCAGACCAGATCTACTTGCAGTATGAGTGTTACCGTTCGTCCTTGAACACGTTTGATGTTGTAGTGAAGATGCTTTGCAGTGGAGACAGCCACAGTCATATACCGGCTGGGCGGTGTTCGACCGCAGAGACGCCCGATGTCACCGGTCTGCTACTCGAGTTCGTGACGGTAGCCCTTCTGTCAAGATTTCGAGCAGGCGTGGGCAACCTGGGAGCAATGAGCAGTACGTTTGGAGCAGCGATGGCAGCGTGGCCAATTTCCCTCCTTGCAAGGATATCCTTGCTTCGATCCGTAATTGGTATGGTCACCCATTAGAAGTGCTCTGCATCAGCTGCCAGAGCAGGTGAGTGCTCGGGGCAGATTTCCGCATCCCATAGTAAGGCAACCACAGTCAGACTAACCATAATATTCGTGATGTCGCTTCGTTGCGTACAGAATGGTGACGGCACGGTCGACCGCCCGAGATGTCCATTCAACGTTCAACTGTGGCAGTACGACACCCACGCCCGTACATCGATGCATCTTCTGAGATCTATCTGCCGACGCCCATACCACTGACTATAGACGTCTCAAATAAAAGCCAGGGCAAAGGCATCGCGTCGCTTCCACGTCTTCCAAAGCTATGTCGAGTAGCACGCTCAGGCAAGACGCGCACGGCACACCCCTGGTCTTCGATATCCTCGTCCAGGTCGTTGATCGCCTGTACGGTACTGACCTCATCAACTTCGCGCTCGCATCGCGGTACTTCCACGTCCTCGCGTCCACCCAGATCGGTGAACGCGCGAGTTGTCCGGATCAGAGACGACTGTCCTCCCTGCGGAAGTACCTGTGCGAAGGCGACAACGCCTCAGAGCGCGCGTTGCTACTGGTCGACCTTACCATCTACGGGCCCGAATCGGCGGAAAGAGGCTTCTGGAGGATTCATGAGCTCATGACACAAACGAGCCAGCTCGTGCACAGCGTCCTCGAACATGCGCAACCTACGCCGGTTCGAACTCCATCGCCTTGAGCAACTCGTGCCATTCCAACCCCGCATCGTCGAAGCGCTCACGGGTTTGCACCAGCTGCGCGAGCTCGGCCTCTCTTCGCTCTCCAATGGGTCGTTCGAGTTGCTCACGGGGATGAAGGCCGACCTTCGTTTGCTCACGCTTTCGGACGCGACTGCGACCAAGGCGCACGCGCGCGACCTCCTCGCAGCGCTCGCCAACTTCCCGGCCCTCGAGTCTCTGACGATGCGCAAGGTCCACGCGTTCGCCTACGCCCCGGACAGCGAGGACCTTCCCTGCATCCCGTCGTTGCGGGTCTTGCGCCTCGAGACCGCCAGGCTGGGCCACTTCACGGCGTCGCCGCTGGTGCGTGCGTTCCCGAACATCACCGAGCTGCGGTATATCTCCGTGGAGACCGAGCCTGACCGCAGCCCACGCGACGCGCTCTGGAGAGACACGCTCCGCCATATCGTCCTCGGCCCGAAATCGGACGACGCGCGGGCGCTGGCGAAGCGGCTCCCTGGGAACAGGGGATGCTGGATGTATTCAGGAGATATGCGGAGCATAGCGTGGCGGTCGTCGCAAGCGTCGATTCGACCGGGCTGTCGCTTGAGGTGTGCAGGTTGACGGAGTGCGAGGGGACACGCTTGGGATGGCATTGCGCGCGTGGCACCGAGGTTGCGGTGGATAGAGCTAAGGCCTGTGGACTACGCGGCTTGCGTCGACTTGTTGGTGCGTACTTGTGGAACTCTGCGCCGCCTCAGGGGATGTGGCTTAATTAATGGACGAGGTTGCGCTTGTAGCGGGGGTTCAGAGCACTAGGGGACCCCGACGCGATGGGTGAGAAGGACGTAGGCGAGCCTGCCGCCTTCCGTCCTCTGCCACAAATATTGTCCCTGCGCAACTCGTCTCTCTACGCACGTGATCTCTTGACCCCGTGGAGCTTTCTGGAGCCGAACGGTGAGAAGTCAAGCACCAAGCCCTGAGGACCGCAGACACGGAGGTGGTTCACAGACTGGCAAAGCTTGTCCAATCGCTCCGCTTCGTCGCCTGCATACTGGCGCATGATGGTGACGAGTATCGAGAAGCGACGCCCTGTGCGACGTGGTGGCGCGTCGTGCAAGACACAAGAGGGAGGATGCTGAGAAAGATCCCGTCCTGGGTGGGGGAGAACGTGCAGAACCTCCTCCACAGCGCAAACGCCGACTCCAAGGAACGATTTGATGGTACGACAGTCCTCTCGTTCTCGGGTCCTTGAGCTGACTTGGGATCTTCTCCAGCCATGCCAACCTACCAGGCCAAGCTGATGAGCTGGATCATCAATTGCAAGCTTGAGCAAGCTAAGTTGAAATCAAGCCAGCTGAACCCCGACCCCCTGCCAAGCCCTACCCGGGAGCTTTCAGGGACACACCCCGGCGCGCTGTCGCAGAGCGCGGTTTAGGATGTCAAGCCACATAACGCCACCCCGCGAGGGGCCCAGACAGCGTATTGTGCTGTTGCCTGTGAGGCTACGGAAGTTCCGTAACACCATCGTACCTACAGCTAAGGGGGCAATTGAGCAAACAAAGGGACTTCTTGTAAGATGAACTGCTCAGACGGCCTTGAGTTGGCTTATGTAATATCGAGGTTCAAACCCGTAAGTAAGTAAATAATGAAATGAGCCGTCCCGGGTAGGCCTCAAGTACTTTGCAACTTCAACGTGACTCAGTCTAGTATTATACGATCCTGGAGCCCTGCATGCAACAAGAGCATTGGGGATTCGGTAAAGTTCTATCTGATGTTGGACAATCCGAGGGAGGTGAGTACTACAATGTTTAAGTTATCTCACTTCGTCTGAGCCAACTTGTAGGACGACGATGGACGGCGATAGTCGTCTTCTCTAACACCCCTACATAAATTCAAATGGTGGCCCAAGGCAGGCACTTCTGATAAATCATGGCTGGTAACGGCGCTGAGTATGTGTGTAGTATTTGGCCTTGAGGATGTCCGGCCTACAGCGGTTTGCATATCGATAGGTCATCTCAAAGAACATGTTCAGAGCGTCCGACTATCTGATTGGGCTCGCATATGGTTCGGCTCCCAATTGACCAGAGTATGTTGTTTTCGACTGAGCTATGGATTTGCAAATGGCCGTAGGGCCAGTCGTTCTGCTGCGGCTCAGTCGACGCGTTGCCTAGTCTCGGCTCCAGACGTTCTTCAGCCTCTCTGCCCCAGCACTCGATGCGTCGCTGCGCTCCGCAAGCCTCGGGAGGGAGTAGACCAAAACAGGAAGGCGAAATTGATGGAACGAATCTCGAAAAGATCTGGAGGGGGGAAACGAGCGCCGGGGGAGAGTTCTAGCGGTACTGTTTGTAAGCGCTAGAACGGATGGGAACGAGACTACGCGTTGCCATCACTGTCGAGCGAGAGCTTGGCTCTCCTGCCGCGGGGACTCGTGGCCTTTTCCCGGATGTGCAGGGTACTTACGGAAGCCAACGAGGCTCTTCGCACACTCTATCAAGGGCCGCATGCCACGAGCGGAGGCGCTGAAGTGTGTATAAAGAGGGATAGGAGACGTCGAGCAGCATCAGAGAGCAGACACTGCACTTACCATTCCACACCCTTCAAGCTCACTTCAAGACCCTAGCATCTACAATGAGTGCTCAGAAGACCGCCAGTAAGCGACCTTCGTATTATAATGTTGACCTCCAAGCTAACTTGAATTTATGGCAGCTGCCTCCTCTGGGGCTCTTCCGTCCAAGGTCGGCATCACCGTCTTCCCAGGCTTTGAGCCCCTTGACGCTTTCGGGCCCCTCGAGGCGCTCTATATGCTATCCAGCAACTTCAAGCTCGACCTCTACGTCATCGCGTCCACGCTAGATCCTGTCTACACCGGAACCAACGACCCACAGTTGAACAAGGCGGGCTCGCGCTTTGGCGTGAACATCGTCCCGACGCACACGTACGAGACCGTGCCCGATGACCTGGAAGTGCTGCTCGTCCCTGGAGGCGCTGGGGCGGCCGCGCCTACAATAGCGCCCACGGTCGAGTTCATCAGGAGGGCGTACCCGAAGCTCAGGTACCTGATCACGGTCTGCAATGGCGCTGCGGTTGCTGCTGCGGCGGGCGTACTAGACGGCAAGCGCGCTACGACGAACAAGCTGTATTGGAAGATGATCACCGCCTCAAGCCCAAACGTGAACTGGGTGCGTACGGCGCGGTATGTCGTGGACGGAAACTGTTGGACGTCCGGAGGCGTTAGCGCGGGGATTGATGTCACCTTAGGGTGGATCTCGAAGTTGTATGGGGAGGACAGGGCACGTACCGTGGCGAATATCATGGAGTACGAGTGGAGACATGATCCGAACTGGGACACTTTTGCATACGTGCATAGGGACGACGTGGACGTGTTCGGGGGCGGTGTGGCATTCGACTGAGACCGACTAGGGATTCCCAGCGGGACTTTACGATATTGACTGAGTTGCTAGCAATTACATCCAAGTCACTACGTCATCAGGTCAAATTCAGAAGCGATTCCTACTCCATATCTTGTCTCCTTGATCACCGTGCGGTTGAAAGAGACGGAAGGACGCTAGTGGGAGATGATCGCGGCGAAGCAAAGATGGCATAGTCTTCTTTCTGCTACTCCTACCTTCGGCGGAGATCCCACATATCATCCAGGAGGACGCTAACAATCATACAGTACCACTTCATCACAAGGACATCTGTGCGCAAGAAGGTTGGTGGGATGAACGGAAGAGTCTGAGATGGAGGCAACATACATGAGAGAGATCAGACGAATTCACGGCTGGGCCGGGTTGGCTGAGCCCGTTGCTGATTGTAGGGACTAGTGCACGGACGCGGTGACAGTACAAAATCCATCGAGTTGCTCTTCAAACCAATCACTGAGCAACTGTGCTGGCAAAGCCGGTGATCCGGTGATAATCGCATTCGAAGGTATGTGAGTTTTGACGGTGTTTGGACTGTCGGGATATTCATGGTACTCGCCACGGCGCTGTAGGACTGTGATGTTCAGGGATCCTGACCGTGAGCTGTCAAGTCTGACAAGGGGATGATGTCAAACATAAGGCAAAACACATCGAGGTTCTTGAAGCTGAAGTGTGCAAGAGAGGTCTTTACATGCGTTGACGAGCTCGACTGTAACGTCAATGGATGGATATAAGTTAATATGAGGCGGAGAAGGACATGTGTACCCACGCTCGGAACATCCTCCTCTGAGAACGCTTAGACCCTGCGTTGGTATGAACGCCACAGATGAATGGAGCGATGTCCTTTCGGCAGGTCCGGGATGTTAGAATATATTGACGTAGTGATCCAAATTCTTGATTAGGGTATACAAGCACGGATACATATTTCAGTCCAGTAGACGTACGATCAAGCTCTCGAGGTCCATCCGAATGGATCGGGGGTTGATTGCGGAATGCCTCCCCATTGTGGAGTCACCGTCTCCGATCTCGAGGTGAACTGTGCGGTGGCATTCGCCGTAGCATCGTTGGTGTTCGCTGACGCTGTGAGCCCCATGAGGCTTTGCATGATGGTGTCCACATCGTCAGACGACGGGACGGGATCGTCGAGCACGGCATCAGCGCTCTTAACGGCCGTCTGGTCGAAGAGCTCGTCTTCCTCGAGCTTCTTCACCGCGGCGCGTAAGTTATTCATGACTTGCTCAAACATCTCTGTACATTCTGTTAGAATACATGTTGGAGGAGCACTTCATCGTTCACATACGCTTCTCTTCCGCCGCTGTGAGTTTGTGGCGGGATAGGGGACGGGGTAGTATAAGAGGGTCTCTGTTCGCCTCGTCTTCCTCAGGCCGAGGTCTGTTGATGCCAACCATCTCCTCGCATTTTCGGACAAAGTCGTGCTCGGAGAGCTCGGAGTCAACACTTGTGGTCTCATCTGGCCCGTAGTCTGTGCCGATGGTGCTCGAGGGCGACGGCGCCCTCATAATGGTGGGCACATACTGGAGATCGGTGGGATGAACGATATACGGCTGGCTGGGCATCCTGGAGGTGATGAGAACAAGGCCGGCCAAATGGTCCCGTTGAGATTCGCCCGGTCGATGGAACGCCTGCTGTCGAGCAGCGTGGTGGTTTTGAACGAAGAGATTACTTACTATGTAACTTATTCACACACTTCTACTTGTATAACAGACGATAAGGGTTGGCTAGTCCTAATGACGCGACGCGTCGAAATACACAGACAAACAACGCGTCGGTTGAAAGCCATCACACGGTCCTTAGTCAGCGCCTGATGCACGCGCTTGTCCGTTATAAGAACACGCGACGCGTCTCATTAACTCTTCCTCGCATACCACCACCCTCCCCCATCTCCCTCCCCTCTTACCTCCTAGTGAGGCCATACTGTACTACCCCTGGGAACTTTCTCAGATGGCCTACGTGTTTAAGCGAGGTATTTTATCGTTTCTGGTCAATTTTCTCGACAATGTCTGACCCAGCGTGTTGTTGCCTTCAGATGGGTCAGTCGCGTTGTGACGCGTCTCGATACGGTCCTGGGACCTGACTTTACCTTTCAATGCCTTTGTAGACGCAAGGAACGCGTTCAGTTTGACAAGGTACGCGTCCCGCCACGCGCCTCCACGTGCATCACTCATGTTGGTCGTAGATCACAGCTCGGATAGCCAAGCTCTGCTATGGTCTCGACAAGGATCATGTAGATCCGATTGGGTGAGTACAAGTATCTTAGGCGAGCATGGTTGATGTTCAACAATATCGTAGCGTTGCCCAGAAGGTCATCGCCGGTGTATACGCGGGTGTGACGACTGTTGAACTTGATGTGAGCGTGCCTCTATTTGGGACGCATGACAGCCCCTAAGTTTCCGTGTAGAACCTTGCTGCCGAGACTGCTGCCTACCTCACGACAAAACACCCCGATTACGCCATCCTCGCAGCCCGTATCGCTGTATCAAATTTGCACAAGGAGACGAAGAAGAATTTTTCCGCTGTCATCAGCGACTTGTATCACTATGGTGCGTGCCACGCAATCGCCCCTCTAAACGAGGCGTTGAGCTCTTTATAGTGAATCCCAAGAACGGCAAACCTGCTGGTTTGATCTCCAAGGAGATTTATGAGGTCGTACAGGCGAATGCCGAAGTGCTTGATTCGGCTATCATTTACGACCGTGACTTCAACTACAACTTGTGAGTGTTATTGCTGTTGATTGGCCGTAGATTGGGTCCCTGATGAATGATATCGCAGCTTCGGATTCAAGACGCTCGAGCGTTCCTATCTGTTGAAGCTCAATGGTCGTGTCGCCGAGCGACCACAGCACCTCCTCATGCGTGTCGCTGTCGGTATTCACGGTGCCGACATCGAGCGCGCCCTCCAGACCTACAATCTTATGTCTGAGCGTTATTTCACTCACGCATCTCCTACACTCTTCAATGCGGGTACCCCTAACCCCCAGATGAGCTCATGCTTCCTCGTGTGCATGAAGGACGACTCCATCGAGGGAATCTACTCAACCCTCAAGGACTGTGCAATGATCAGCAAGACGGCTGGCGGAATCGGTCTCAACATTCACAACATTCGCGCAACTGGGTAAGTCCACCCAAGTCTCGGGTTTCTGTAGTGGTGCTTACCTTCCTGCGCAGTTCTTACATCGCGGGCACAAATGGCTACTCGAATGGTATCGTCCCTATGCTCCGGGTCTACGATGCTACTGCGCGTTACGTCGACCAAGGCGGAAACAAGCGGCCTGGTGCCTTTGCGATCTATCTGGAGCCCTGGCACGCAGACGTATTTGAGTTCCTGGACCTCCGCAAGAACCATGGCAAGGAAGAAGTTCGCGCACGTGACCTCTTCTACGCCCTCTGGACTCCCGACCTCTTCATGAAGCGTGTCGAGTCTGGCGGCAAGTGGTCACTGTTCTGTCCTAGCGAGGCGCCTGGTCTCCATGAGGTCTGGGGTGAGGAGTTTGAGGCGTTGTACGAGCAGTACGAGCGTGAGGGTCGCGCCAGGAAGACGATCGACGCTCAGAAGCTGTGGTATGCTATCCTAGAGTCTCAAATCGAGACTGGTGGTCCTTTCATGCTCTACAAGGACGCCGCCAACCGTCAGTATATCCTTTGATCTCTTGCTGCCGATTCTGACTGCCGCTATAGGGAAATCAAACCAACAAAACCTCGGCACGATCAAGTCGTCCAACTTGTGCACGGAGATCATTGAGTACTCTGCGCCCGATGAGACTGCTGTTTGCAACCTTGCGTCTATCGCCCTCCCTTCCTTCATCGAGAACGGGAAGTACAACTTCCAGAAGCTTCATGACGTCGCCAAGGTCGTCGCCTTCAACCTGAACCGCATCATTGATGTCAATTACTACCCTATTCCCGAGGCGCGTCGCTCGAACATGCGCCACCGCCCCATCGGCATCGGCGTGCAGGGGCTTGCGGACGCTTTCATGGCGCTTCGTATGCCGTTCGACTCTGTTGAGGCGCGCCTACTCAACCTTCAGATTGCCGAGACCATCTACCACGCTGCTGTCGAGGCAAGTTGCGAGATGGCGCAGAAGGACGGCCCCTATGAGACGTACCAGGGCAGCCCCGCGTCGCAGGGCAAGCTCCAGTATGACTTGTGGGGCGTCACCCCGACCGACCTCTGGGACTGGGCGAGCCTCAAGGCGAAAGTCGCGCAGCACGGTCTCCGCAACTCCCTACTCATCGCCCCCATGCCCACCGCCTCGACGTCGCAGATCCTCGGTAACAACGAGTGCTTCGAGCCCTACACGAGCAACATCTACACTCGCCGTGTCCTCGCCGGCGAATTCCAGGTCGTGTGCCCGTGGCTGCTCCGCGAGCTGGTCGAGCTGGGCCTCTGGAACGACGACATGAAGAACATGATTATCGCGAACAACGGCTCGGTGCAGAACATCGACATCATCCCCGAGGACGTCAAGGCGATCTACAAGACGGTCTGGGAGATCTCGCAGAAGAAGGTCCTCGACCTCGCGGCGGACCGCGGCGCGTTCATCTGCCAGTCGCAGTCGCTCAACGTCCACCTCCAGTCGCCGACGAACGGGCAGCTGACGAGTATGCACTTCTACGGCTGGAAGAAGGGCCTCAAGACAGGCATGTATTACCTGCGCACGCGCCCCGCAGCGCAGGCGATCAAGTTCACCGTGGACAGCTCGTACCTCAAGAACGCGGCGAAGAAGACGCAGGCGAAGGCGAACGGTGTCAACGGTGCCGCTACGCCTGTTGCGCCTGCCACGCCAATCAAGGTCAAGGAGGAGTCTGTAACTCCTTCGCTGGCCACCCCTGTCACGAACGGCAAGGTCAACGGCGTCGACGGCATCAATGGCGTCAACGGTACTAATGGTGTCGACTCTTCCGACTCTGCTTCACCTTCTCCTACTGTCTCCGCCGTCAACGACGCTGCTCTGGTATCGGCAGCCGGCCAGCTCTCGCTTGACGAGCGTACACAGAAGGCGGCGGAGGCGGATCCAGAGTTCGCTGCTGCTCTTCAACGTCAGCGTGATCGCGAGCTTGAGCAGGCAAAGCTCATGTGCTCGATTGAGAATAAGGAGGCGTGCCTGATGTGCTCCGGCTGAGTGCGTCTTGTCTCTCGGTTGGGGTACTTTGGTGTAAGTTGGGACGGACTCGCAGCTGTGTATCGTTTTTCATCGCATGTTTTCCTCTGTATATCTGGCTACCTTGTCTATGGCTGTCTGACTTGCCACATATGCATAGCATCCTGTTCCAGTTGTAGCTGTATGAAACGCATAACCCCTTAATAGACCTCATTACCTGGCATAGCAGACCTTTGGGCGGTGCGGGAATAAGAGGCAGGGACAATGAAAGTTGTTTCGCCGGATGCTTCGGGCGTGGGAACGATATCCCATTAGAGTCGCCACGGAAGAATGGACCGGAGCGTGGAGGCCTGCATCAGCCTCGTCGAGAGCTACGACTAGCATCTCCTGCATCCCAATCCACATCTCCGATTCGGTCGTGTGCAACGTCCTCAAGGGTTCATGGCCACTTTCCTCCTTCCACAACCTCCAGATATCTCGCCCATTCATCGACTCCCCCCTGAGCTTCTCATCGACATCCTCGTCCATTGTTCTGACCAGCCTTCTGACCAGCTCACTCCCGTCATCTTCGGCCGGGTCTGTCGCTACTGGAAAGACGTCTCTCGCCTCTCGCCACGCATATGGCAGCACATCTACCTCTTCGAGTCCAATGGAACAGCCATCTCGCACGACCAGGCCATCTACTGGATGGCGCGGTCCGCCCCACTCCCGTTTGATGTGCGTATAGAAGCATCTACGACGGATATGATCTTGCCCTTGCTCTCGCCCATCATGTCCAACATGCAGCGTCTGCGCAGATGCGTGATCTCCGGGCGACACCAGGACGAGTTCGACTTCGAGAAGTACGCATTCGATCGCACCAGGGGGTGCCTGGTCGACGAGCTCGACCTCCTCATCAAGGGCGTGTCTGCCCTGGACGCGCTCGGCCTCAATACCGTCCCGGACCCTGCGGAGGACAGGATGCACTCGTCCATATTCCGTGCGCACTGTCCCGCAGACGGGCCCCCAGAGCTCGCGCTCCGACTCTCGGTGTACGCCCTCCCGCTCCAGAGCGTCATGAAGCCCGTCCCGGTCAAGTCGCTCTCCATCACCGAGGCGTCGCTCGACGTCCTCACGGACGTCGTCCGCATGCTTAATTTTCTCAGGTGCACCCCCATGCTCGAGACTCTCCATTTTACAGGCTACCCGCAGGAGGGCGAGCCGATCCAACCGGGGCAACTCTTCCCCGTCACGCTCAGTCGCCTCCGGACGCTCCGCTTACGGAGCACGGTGTCCGTCCGGGCGATTCTCGACCACGTTGACGCGCCTGCACTGGATGAGCTCTACCTGGAACACACGAATGTGGATGTCGAGCTTAGGACGGAGCCTTATGTGGCACAGCGCTCGCCGCCAGACGAGGGCGAGTCAGACGATGAGGCACACGACTTTTCTCAGTCCCCTTGGTCGGACCACTGCACAGGTACGTTACTGCCTACATCTGTCCCATGTTCGAGTCACCTGTTCAAATTTTCTTCCGTTCACGCACGCATATATGCGCTCCTCCTCTAATAGGCATGGGCCTCCGCACACTCCTCAAGCGCTCCCGCCCGCCCCTGCGCGTGCTGCTCATGGACTACGCCGACATGCGTACCAAGGACTTCCGATGGTGCTTCGACCACCTCCCCCACCTCCGCGAGTTCCGCATCGTCGGCTCCGACATGTCCGACCGCGTCGTCGGCATGCTCGCCCCGTACCAGAAGCGGCGGATGGCGTTCGGGCTCGCGAACATCAACCCGCGCGACGCCGAGGACCCGAAGGGGTCGTGGGCGGTGCGCCTGCCGAGCCTCACGAAGCTCGCGGTGTGGCATTGCCAGAGAGTGACGGGGGACGCGGTCGTGCAGGCGCTGCGGGAGCGGGTCGCGTTTACAGACAGGGCGGCGGAGGAGGGACGGGGGGAGACGTTGGAGAGTATCGCAGTCGTTGGATGCTCGGAGTTCCTGTTTCAGCACGGACAGGCGCTGGCAGAGACGCTTGGGGAGCGGATGCGGCTTTCGTAGGCTGGATGCTCAGGTTCTCTGATGCCCTCAGGCATGAGGGGTGTATATTTGCCTTGTCTCGTGGTCAAATATGGAGTGACAATGCAGGATATATGTAGATGACTTGTACTTGTAGGGTAGGTTCGGCCCCTCACCTAGCTGTATGATATAATGGTGCTTTGCTGTACATTTTGCACTATACGCTATCATGTTATTGTACGAGTAGAACTACATGCAATAGGGCTCTCTCGCCACGCATACAGCCAGTCGTCGTCCCGTGTGGGAGATAATTCCAGATGAGTCGGTCCTTCGTCCTTATTGCCCATCCTCATCCGTTCTTTGCGATGTCAGACCCGACGAAGTGTCATAGGAAGTGCGCCCAGAACGAGAGTTTATGTCGGCGAAAGCAATAGGTCCTGTGTAAACCATTGGGGAGCCGACGGCCCCCTCTTGCATTTGAACATCGCTGCCTTTCTCGAATGCCCCAGCCGCAACGCTATTGTGTCCTAGGCCAGAAGTGCCGAAATCTATCGCACGTTTCTTGTACCATTCCGCGATCGATGTGCGCGAGTTCAGCCTTTGTTAATGCCGAATAACGTTACACAGCTGTGTGAATCTAGCTGGAAGAGTAAGGGAAGACGTACACTGCGAGTACCGCCATCGTGTAGGCTGTGAACGTGGTTAGCGCGTGGTTGACGTTTGGACATAGTGCGGACATTACGCACAGCGCGTCGCGGGTGTGAGAATCCCGAAGTAGATCATGTTGGTCGGGAAAGCGATGAGCTGTCGCGTGTGATTCAGAGTTTGTCAGAGTGCACACTGTCATGTCGTCCCACTTACGAAACCAAGGGCAAGGGCGTTAATTGCGCTGTCACATATGATCATTAGCTGCTGTGCACGGGGCCAGTCACGGCTAGAACCACCTTGTGAGGACACCTGGACAGGAAAGGAGACGGTCAGTTCTCTTTGATAGGAGCTGAGGTTGTGACGGGCTTCGACGTACATGTGTTGACTGTGTACGCGATCAGGACGTTGAGCAGCGAGTCGGTGCTGGCAGCAGACGTAAGATATATCAGGGCCGGACGCCGACGAGGGAAGACGTACTTCCTGAATCCAGTGCGCGTACGATGGAGTAAAATGACCAAAGTACTAGCGAGGAAGAGATCCACAGCCAGAACGCCCACCAGAGCGATGGATTCCATTCGCTGTGACAATGAAGATCAGAGCTCCATGCGTGCGCTGCACTGACAACAGTGGGCGACAAACATACTGTCAAGTCTGCTTTAGCAACTACCCTGTATCTGGTGGACCTGCTGGAGGCGTCAATAACCAGGAAACGCGGATACTGGAATGATCGCGTTGACTGACCCTTCAATCGCTGCAGCTGTTGCGATGTATATCAGTGTCGAGTGACTTGGACATCCCAAATGTACCAGCTCTTACCAGCAGCAGCGCCTTCAGACGAATAAGTTGATTACTTCCAGATACGGTGAGAGAAGAGCCTTGTCGCGCACCTACCTCCCCGAGAAGAAGCACGACCTACACAAATGTTGCGATCAACGATATAGCAGGCGCGCAATTTGTGAGTTGGACTAACCAAGACAACTACAAGACCTCGATAGTTGGGGTTGACTGGTGGGGAGGAATGATGAGGGATTGTTACGAAGAGACTGAGCTGAGGCTCACATAGGTAGATTCGCCGAACATAGAATCTAGTGTCATACTCGGAGTCAATGCCTGTAGTATACGACAGGATGGCTGTGATGCATACACCTGGGCTACGAAGATGATGATGCACTGAACGCGCATGAAATCGTTACTAGGGCTTGTCTTGTACTCTATGCAAAATACGCACCATGACGACGCCCATAAGCTGCGCCGGAGGAAAGGCATGACTTTGTGCCGAGCATCTGTATATTTGCCACTCACTATTGCTGACCTAAATCATTGTGTCAGTCGATTCTGAGGTATTGCACACATTGTACACCGACGTACCAGCTTCCGGCCAGTAGGGCAGAGGGGTTAAAGTAGTTGGTCACCAGGTAGAAGTAGCTTGGTGACTTGTAAACGCGCAGCACGAAAGACGAGTAGGGCCGAATGTTTTCACCAGACGTGACAGCTCCCTACAACGTGTAGCGTATCCAAGACCCTGGGTTGTAATGAGGACGGCAGATGTGCTGAAGGGTTTGTAGACCTACAGAAGCGCGAGAACCTAGGTCCAGAGTCATGTCATGAGCCAATCTGAAGGGCATAGAGCACAGGCGTGATTGGCACCAACCAGACATTTTAATCTCGCAGTATCCTTTGGATACGTCTGAAAGTACTTGTACGCCTGGTATGCAGTAGTCCCGTACATGCTGAAGTTCAAGGTCAGTAACGAGACTTTCAGAAAGGTTGCTAGGGGAGACTGATGGACGCACACAAGGCCAATATAGTTGCCGATAAGCAGGGCTCCAAAAGTGTTATCTATAGGAGCGACCAGCTCCATCGTAGGTGTACCGGACACCTGATTAATGACGTGAACTTAAGCAGATATGCAGGAGGGTGGGGAAAAAGGGAGACAAGGAGAAGAAGCGGCGTCCGAGGGAAAGCAATCCAAGGGCTGGCTATATGCATCTCGTTCCCAAACTGCTCCAAGTGACGCCGGGAAGATTCCCTTACAAAGAGCGAACCAGTGGTGATACTTCGCAAATTGCCCCACGACCAAACGATGCTGATGATGAGCGACTCCAAGTCCTGCTGCTGTCCTGCTACTAAACAAAGGGCTATCAAAGATTGTACGGGCAGGGTGGGCATTTGGTCCAATCGGTCTGTACATTCGACGGCACTGTGAACCGTGTTCACACTTGCACGAGTGCCCCACGTAAGTCCAGGCATCACGCTCAGGGTATGTTGAGCTTGTGGTCCTGTACGGGTTAGTGGGCGTAAAGCGGTCGATGGCATCTGTCCGGAGTCCAGGCACATCATTGGCATTGGCAGGTGGTGGAAGATGAGAGCAAGTTCTGCCGGAAACTCGAAGAGACTCAGAAGAACATTATCAGCAGCTGTCGTGAGGAACGCTAATCCCGTCCAATCTCCGATACAAGGACATGGTTGAAACGCCATGCCTTACGACGGAGACCAAGAAAAAGCAGTTAGTGATTAGTTTGAGCTGCGGTTACGGAAGCCCAAGATTGAGTGCGCTTACAATGTCAATTATGATTTGGATGGCGACCTACGTTCGCTGCGTCTTCTGTGGTTTGTGATGCTCTATCTGTTGCATATCAAGTGGCTGGGGCATGGGATCAACGAGACTATGAATGGCACGAGGCAGTACTTTGTCACATGTCTGGCAGTGCTGGTATAGACCTGGAAGGGGCGACTCAACGTTTTGAGAAGAACGAGGAGGACTCGAAGAACACAAGCCTGAACCCCTCAGAAGTGAACTTCCTTGCAGCGAAGTAAACGGTAGAGCCGTAGATTATACTGGGAGGGCAAGTACTGTTTATCAACGTCCGCAGCAAACAAGGTTACGTAAACAAACTTAGCCCAGTCCAAATACCATCTGGGACAAAGCGCACTCAATCACAAGTACAACTACACAGCGAAAGACACATAGGGTCTTTCATAAAACGTTCGGGCAAGTGCCAGAGACGCCTGACAATGATATAGGAGGCTACAGAAGTTACATATTGCATGACGCCGCGGTTGACTTACTAACCAAAATCATAGACTACCTGAGGCCGAAGAAGGTGCTTGCGAAGAGTAAGCTGACAAGATGGGTGCCAACTCGCCAACGTACAATGATACCCCTTCACTCAGGATTGTTTGCAGGAACGGGGGTGAGGTATCCCCTCATAACTCCTCAACGTGTCCTTGAGCGTCAGAGAACGTGCTCCCTTGGGTGGTTGAGTAGCCTGCCGATGGGACCTGCATATTACGTCGGAGCCGCGAGAGAGCCTGCCGTGTTGATGGGGTTACCTGTGTAGCAATCACACCTATGCCTGGAACGTACATCGTCGATCAGCGCTGTTCACGTATCCTGGAGGGGTCGTTGTAGTCTCACTGTTCATGGATGACTAGCCATCGCCTTCCTTTGAGGAGCCGGCGACCAACGCAGTCCTGAGACTGATCATCGCGGTTTGGGTGGGTATGGTACTAGTCTCTGCCTGTTTTGGCTCAAAAGAATGAAGAAGTTCGAGGGCAAGCGGGCAAGCGGGCACAAATGGGATTCGCGTTTGGCCGGTGCAAACGCGTGCCGTACATAGTACATACAATAGACCTTATATACACAGTAGAATAGGGGTAGATAAGGGCGCGGGTATCCGTCGGGGGGCGGGACCTGTGGCGCTCGTTCCGCGAGCTCGCCATCTTGACGCCAGGATTCCAACACATCCCCTCGAGCGAGCGCGGGCAACGAGCGAAGGGTAACAAACAAATCAAGCGGGACGGGGATAATGGAAACAGCGAGCAAGGAAGGAGGGGTTGTGTCCGCACAAATAAGGGATAACGTACGATAAGTCTAATGCATCCCCTTAATTGGGCATTTACCAAACTTCTATCTCCTTCTCGGCAAGAAGCTGATCGGCGCTAACGGTTGCCGAAAACGCGTAATGGGCCTCTTCAGTCTTAAGCTCGGGGCAGTCGCGCTGATAGTGACCCTTCTTGGAGCACTTGAAGCAGGTGATGCGCTCGAGCGGGGTGCGGGGCTTCGTGTAAGCAGCGAGGGCAGCTTCGGAGTCATGATGCGGTGGGTGGAGGGACAGTTGGCGCGACTCTTCATTAAGTAAGCGGGTGATGACATAATCGATGGTACTAGTGTGACCCCAGAAGCGACGGCCCAGAATGTATTTCGTGCATATCTCCATCGCATCTTCCCCCATAAATCTCGAATTTGGCACACTTAATCTGTATTGTAGACGGTATATACCCGTCAAATATGACGGCAATCGGTGGAATTTTGCTTCGAGCATCGTGGAATTACACGTCTGACCCCAGAAACGACGGAAAGGCGCCCACAGATTGTCACCAATGGTCACGGTGCCGAAGACTGCCGATTTAAACACCGCCATTATCAGTCGTCTGATAACGACGTTGGCGGAGGGAACACTAGTCGAGGCGCTCATAATCAAAGTCAGCCTTATCTCGGTCAGTGGCTGAATGTCACGCTCGAGAGACCCCCTTCCCATTCCTCAAGTACCGCAATCCGTAATCCTTCGGAAACTGAATAATTATACTCAGTGCACATGTTCAAAACACTTCCTGGAGTTACAAGAAGATCGGCAGGGCCGATCTCTTTGTGGCAATACAACAAGGTTAGTAAACCCCTGGAACCCTACCCAGATTGACGTTTATCGGGAGCAAATTCCTCCAGATTTCCTTCGTTCTTTTTGGGAGTGATAGTACAGAAGCACATAGTTTTATTGTAGCGTTTGT